CAAAAAAAAAAAAAAAGAGAAAGAGAGATGTTAAATAACACCTATGTCACATATGTTGAATGAAAAAGAATCCATAACAAAGCATCTGATACTTTGAGAAGTTGCGTTCTCTCAGATATTAGTTCCCTTTCTTTTTTTGCCTTGAAGTAGAAAGATCAGCGATGAGGATAAACATGAAGTGATCCCAGAATGCATCGTGTCACTAACGTTCATGTTGCATCAGCGTTCATGCTGGATGAGGCTTCTTGAATTTAAATTGCAACATACGTTCTCGAGAGGGGTTATAGTGGATAGAGTTTATCTAACTTTGTTTCCTTAGTTGTGAAATGAGGATGCATACTACCTCCTTCATTGGGTTGATTTGAATATTAAATGAGTTAATAAATATAATTATCTCAATAACGCCTTTCACATAGTACTAAATAACCATTATTTTTTAATTTTATTTATTATTTTTATTTCCTGTGTATGAGTGTATTGCCTGTATGTATGTGAGTGCACCAGTGCACCCGTATCATAAAATGCTGCGGAGATCAGAAGAGGGCTTCTGATTCCCCTGGAACTGGAGTTAAGGATGGTTCGCAGCCGCCATGTGGGTGCTGGGAATTGAACCCAGGTCCTCTGCAAGAGCAGTCAGTGCTCTTAACCGCTGAACCATCTCTACAGCCCCGACCATTATTTCTTAAGTGTATTTTGAGATTAATCCTGAAACTTTTGGTCACTGTCCAGACTTTTATCTTTTTATTATAAAAACCCAATAAAAATCCAATTTATTTAGACCTCCAGTTAAATTGTTTAGTTGGCGTTTTCTTTATATATATATTTTTTTTCACCCCTATTACCCTCTTCTCCCGTTGATCCCCTTTCTCTTTCCCAGTAACCTTTTATTTTCATGTTTGTCTATTTTCCTTCCTTCCTTTCTCTCTCTCTCTTTTTCTTTTTCTTGCTTTTTCTTTCCTTTCTCTTTTTCTCTTTTTCTTTCTCCTTCCTTTCTCTTTCTCTTTTTCTCTCTGTTTCCTTCCTTTATTTCTCTTTTTCTCCTCCCTCCCTCCCTCCCTCCCTCCCTCCCTCCCTCAGTGAATTTCATTAGGGTTGCTTAGGGAAGCTTGAGTGATATGTTAGATATGTTATTTATCAGTGGCTACATCGCTGAGGATCATGTCTCTTCCTCCCCTAACCACCACTTACTACCTGTGGATCCTAAGGGAGAGGTGGGGCCTGGTGAGCCCCTCTGCACTTCCATGACAGAATGTGACAGACTCCGTCTTATGCACGTAATCCTGTCTGCTGAGAGTTGAAGAGTGCATGCCTGTGCTGTGCCCGAGACAGCACTTTACCACATTCCACCCCTTCTTTTGGCTCTTAAATTTTCTCCACCTCTTCTGTGATGTTCCTGAACCTTGAGAGGGTTTCATTTATGGCTGAGCATTCAGCAGTCACTCTTTAACAACACTGTGACCAGTTATGTGTCTCTACAGTATCTGCCACCCACTGCAGAAAGAAGTTTCTCTGGCTAGAGTCGATAGTAGCATTAATCTATGGGCGTAAATATTGAGAAGCCAATTTGGACAAGTATATCATGTTCATTTAGCAAAACAACAGCAGTAGCTTCCCCTTTAGGGCCTGTGACCTCCGAAGCCATGGACTTTGACCTGGATTATATATTACTACTATATTGCACCAGTAGTTACAACTTGCATGACAGGTCAGTAGTACAGCACATAGTATACACAGTTGAGTGAGACTGATGACAATTATCCCCAAACAACCGTATAGCACCTTCTGGCAATGTGAAACTAGCCATCAGGGAAGATGGTTCAAACTCAGTTCTAGCTTGATTGTATACTGTAACTAAAGCATGATTTTTAGCAATGGCAATAGTTTATATAGGGACCTTAGAGGCCTTCCTGACCAGCATCTCGTAGGGTGGTAGCCCATCTGTAACTGTCTAATTTTTAAATGTGTATTTACTTTGTATGAACTTTGCTCAGATAGCCTAATTATTTGAATGTATTTTACTGGAAAAAATATTTCATGGATACCATAATTTAATAATTGTCGATCAAGTGATTAATATTGGGGCTGGGGTGATCGCTTGACTGCTAACGTGCTTGTTATACAAGCATGAGAACTTGTGTTTGATCCTAGAAACCAAGTTAAGCAACACTGTGTATGCAGTGGCATGGGTTTACAATCCCAGCACCGGAGAGGCAGAGACAGGCAGATCCCTGGGGCTCACTGGCTAGCCAGGCAGCCCTAGTTTATTTTGTTGAATCCCAGGCAGGTGAGAGACTCTTTCTCAACAAGGTGGATGGTACCTGAGGAACAATATTGATATCTGGCTTTCACATGTGTACAGTGTACCCATATAAACTTACACACACATACAGCTCTTATATTTATTTGTGCTGTTGTTTTTTTTCCTGCTGCTTAGGTCAATGTAAATCTGTTACCTACATATGTTAAACCTGTTGAGACTGCAAATTGCTGCTTCAGTTTTTGTCTTCTAGCCAACTTCATTGACTCTGTGGTCAAAGAACTGTGTCTTGCCTTTATCAGAAGGCAAGACACATGGTAGACTGATGAGGTGGCTCAGTGGGTAAAAGTATTTTGCTATGCAAACCTGATGACCTGAGTTTAATCCCCAGAACACACTGTGGAAGGAGAGAATTGACTCTTGAGGTTGTCCTCTGACCTCCACACGTGTGTTGTGGCATGTACAGACACACACATTGTATACTAATTATAAATAAGTTTTTGTGGTAATAGAAAAGGGTGGGTTACATAGTCCCTGGTTAGGTCCCTACCACCACAACCATGGGGTGAGGTGGGTAGCTGAGTCAGATTCATTCATGAGTTCATTCAATTTCTTTTGGGCCCATGAACATGTACTAATTGGCATTGCAAGTATAAACTTAGCTGTTTTAATGATAAGGTATGTGTTGGTAATTTGGTAAAGTGAATGGTAAGAGAACATGATCTCATTTGTGTGTATTGTATGTCTTAAGATACAATTTTTGGCTTAAAAGCAGCATTTAGTTTTAGAGTGCTTATGGTGAATTTGAGATGGAGAATCCCTCTGTCTATGAAGGCTATTTTAACCATGACTGAATGATTAATGACAGTTTTGTGTTAAGTGAAGCATGTCTACCTAGAACACCTGAATAGTGATTGAGAGTATTTCTCAGACAGTTCTTTTGAGGGTGATGGAGATTTGACTCACAGTCTGAGTATTTCTGGTGTGCTATTGCAACTTCCAATCTTGAGTAATTTTTTAAAAATGGTTTTAGCTTTTAGTTATGTGTATAGTATGTGTGTTTGTGGTTATGTGAACGTGAGTGCTGGTGCCCATGGAAGCCAGAAGAGATTGTCAGATTCCTTGGAGCTAGAGTTACAGGTAGTTGTGATCAGCTTGCTGTGGGTGCTGAGAACTGGACTCAGGTCCTCTGCAAGAGTGTTACACACTCTTCTGAGCCAGCTCTCCAGCCCCTTTTCTTTGTACTTTTATGGACATATTTTCACTTAAACATATTTATTCACACAGTAGCTTTCAAGATAATTTAAATCTTGGAGAAGGGGTTAATATTGGTAAAGAAAATAAGATTATTGTGAGTAAAGGAAACTGAATGGGGGAATAACATGTAAAAAGTTTAAAAGCTCCTATTCACATTTCCTATAGTGTTAGCAATAGCATTGTGTCCCTCCCTCCCTCCCTTCCTTCCCTCACTATATATTCCTAGCTGACCTTGATCTCTACTGTGCCCCTTTTTTTGTTTGTTTTTGGTGGTGTTTTTTGGGGGGGGGGATTGTTTTTGTTTCTGTTTTTTCCTTCCCTTTTCAAACAAATGAAATAACAAGTAATACATGGTGGTTTGATCCCAGCACTCTGGCGACAGCACCAGGCAGATTTCTGAGTTCAAGGCCAGCTGGAGCTACAGGAAGACCCTGTCTCAAAAAAAGCAAAATAAACAGAAAACAGGAAAAGGAAAAAAACAAAAAATAAAATACAGAGCTGTCCTCAATAGGCTATTGATTGAAGAATTCTTATGACTCACTCTGTTCAGAAGTAATAAGACTATATCAAAGAACAAAAGGTAAATCTTTTAAGTAAGAAATTTATTAGTTTAATATTTAAAACTGCATGATACAGATGCTTCTAGCTTTAAAAGCAGGCCATTTTGAAGGATTTTATAAAATAAACACAAACTTAGATCTGATAAAATGTAGATCCTTTTGTTACCTGCTTCCTTTCTCATGTGCTTCCAGTTAGACATAATTTAAAAATATGTATTGGCTGGAGGGATGACTCAGTGGTGGTTAAGAACCTTTGTTCCTCTTGCAGAGAACCCAGGTTAGGTTCCTAGCACCCACATGGTGGCTCCTAGCCACTAGAAACTCTAGTACTAGGGGATTTGATATCCTTTTGTGACCTTCACAGGTACCAGGCACACATGCAGGCCAACACTCTTACACATAAAGATAAATAATTACTTTTTTAAAAAATACTTGTAATATTCATTAAGGGCTGCTGGTTTCAGTGTGCTTAAATTCTGAACTCTGTTTTTGAAATTATTTTTAATGTTGTGTATGAGTGTTTTGCCTGCATGTATCTAAGTGCACCACCTGCATGCAATGCCCATAGAGGCAGAAGAGGGCATCAGGTCCCTTGGAACTGAGTTACAGGTGGTTGTTAGCCACCATGTAGTGCTAAAAAACAAACCCCTGTCCTCTACAAGAGCAGCCAGTATTTTTAACCATTGAGCCATCTCTCCAGCCCCGAACTCAGGACAGCTAGTGATAGTGTGACAAGTTCTTTGGCTAACTTGGGCTGTTTTGCATATTTGATTAATTGTGTTGACAAATGTTTCATTAAGTCTTCAATTACTTGAACTAATAAGAACAGAAATTAAATTTCATTCCAAAAGCCTTACTGTTCTGAATTGCTAAGATTTTTATTTGAAAAATCTCATTGCCCTTTTTTCTTCCTGTTTCACGTGCAGGTCATGGTAAAACCCCCAAAGATGCAGCGTCAGTTCGAGCCACGCATCCGATACCAGCAGCCTGTGGGATTTATTATTTTGAAGTAAAAATCGTCAGTAAGGGAAGAGATGGGTAAGTATAAGTTTTGGTGGGTACAACTCATTTTGTATTCCTGGATAATTATATTTGAAATGTTTCATAAATGTTGATGATATAATTGGAAGGTTGGAATCCTGAAATTTTTGGTTTTGAGAAAGTAGACTGAACATTATTACAGTGTAACAGAGTGGTTCTGGTTAAATACTAAATACTAAAGCTTGAGTTCATGATTTGAACAGTTTTCTTTTAGGTTTATCATTGAAGCTGAATTGGAGGGCTGGGGAGATGGCTCAGCAGTTAAGAGCACTGACTGCTCTTGCAGAGGGACGGGTTCAATTCCCAGCACCTACATGGTGGCTATGAACCATCCTTAACTCCAGTTCCAGGGGAATCCAAAGCCCTCTTCTGACCTCCCTTGGCATTGCATGACATGGGTACACTCACATACATGCAGGCAGTACATTCATATACATAAAATAAAAATAATAAATTTAAAAAAAAACAACACTGAATTGGGCCTAAGCAATAGAGGGACAGTGACTCATTTTTCTGAATTCTGCTGAGAAGCTAAATCTCCTAAAACCCAGTTAACCAAAGCCAGTGATTTATAGGTGCTTTATAGGGTTTGGGGTTTAGAATTTTAGGTATCACTTGGAAAATGTATGTTTGTGCTCTTGATTAGAAGAGATTCCCAAGTTAGTGTGTGGTGTGGAAGCTTCAGAATGAAAACTTTCTAATAGATTGTGGAACCAACTTGCATATTACTGTTTTTAATCATGGAATTGATGTGTGATGTGTGTGTACATCAGAGTCCCTTTTAGGACTATTAAAATATCTTAGTTTGTGCTTTACCTCAGAAATTCCTAATCAGAACTGGGCATATTGACATACACCTTTAATCCTAGCACTTGGGAGGCAGAGGTAGGTGCATTTCTGTGAGTTTGAGGCCAGCTTGGTCTGCATAGTGAGTTCCAGGCCAGCTGGGGCTACTGGGAGACCCTGTCTCAAAAAGCAAAAACATCAACAAAAAAGAAATAAAAATCCCTAATCAGTATTTGGACAAGGTAGGAATTTTGAGAAAGTTCTATGGGGAATTTTGGTGCATATCCCTACTTAGGAAAAGTTCTCTAAGTCATTATTTCCTGATACTTCATTGGAGTATCACAGATTCCTTTAAGCAACCACAGGGTCATTTGTCCAGCTATCAAGATAAAGCTTTTGGGCGTTGTGAGTGGTAAGGTGATCTGCATCTGAACCCCTCTTAGTGATCTTCCTGTATCCAATAGGTAATTCCTTGCTGAATATCCTCAGTGTCAACAGTATGAAAAGTAGAATGTAAAACCTTGGACTCCAATGACAGCTTTTTACTTGACTGCTTATTTTTCCATCATGATCAAATTAAGCATAAAATCAGAGGTGCCAATGAGAAAGTTTTAAAATATTTACTATTTTTTCTTTTTTATGTGTGTACGAGTGTATTGTCTGCATGTGCACCTGTGTCATGCAATGCCTGTGGAGGTCAGAAGAGTCGGATTCCCTGGAATTGGAGTTACAGTTGTTCCGCCATGTGGGTGCTGGGAATCGAACCCAAGTCCTCTGCAAGAGCAGGCAGTTCTCTTAACTACTGAGCCATGTCTCCAGCCCCAATGAGAGTTTTTGAGAGATATTGGCCTACCTTTACAGCTCCTTGCTCAGGAAACCAGTTCTTTTTATACCTCAGCATATTCAGCTCCATAATGCTGCCAGTACTCATGGTACCCAGGTTCTCTATAGCTTCCATTCTGCTCACTGTCTTTGCATGATCTTGACTTTGTATTTTCATGGCTGCTCAAATGCTCCATCTCATTCATTTCTGTGAGCTCATCGCATACATGTACCTATTCGTTGCAGTTGACTGTTCCACGGCCATACATTTAGCCTGTTTGAAGTGTTTTTCTCAAAAACAGTTGACTGGTGCTTTCACTGTTGATAAACCTTGAGAATTCCTACCTTTGCCTTTCTCTGAGCATCTCTGCTGCTTCTCCCTTAGTTGGGTCTTGGCAAGTCTCTGGAGTTCCTGAGGTGGTTGGTTATTACCTCCCAAGTGCTCCCTGCTTGTGACTCTTACCAGTGTTTTTTCTCAGAGAGACCTTAATTGGCTCTGTCTCTACTTTAAGATAATTTGAAACATGGTTTGAAGCTAAAAATCTGAAACTTTTTAGCAGGGTCATTTATGGTGTGACTAGATCTGATGAAATTTTTCATTTTCATCTTTTTGTAGCCAGAGTTTCTCATATCTTTTCCTTTTCTTTTTAAAATTGCATATACCTTACATATAGTAAAACTTCTTTCTTGGTGTACTGTTCTGTGAGTTTTCATGTGTAGCCGTGTAACCACCACAACCAGTATAAAGAACAGTTTCATTTCCTGTCCCTTTGTAACTAGCCCTTCCCCATCTCTAGCCTCTGGTAGCCTCTGGACTATTGGTTTTTTGTGTGTGTGTGTCTCTCTCTACTTTGCTTTTCTAGAACAGCATATAAATGGAATCCTAATATGTAATCTAGTTAGTCTGGCATCATCTGCTAGGCATAACACATAATGTATTTGAGAGTCCTCCCTGCTGCATATAGTAGGGAATAGTTCTTCCATTGTTGGTGGTATAGGTGATCAAACCAGTATGCTAACCTGCTCCCCAGTTAAGGGTGGGTTTTGGCAATTACAAATGTAAGCATTATCAACATTTATTTACAAGTTTTTCTGTAAATGTAAATTTTCATTTCACTTTGGGTAAATATGTAGGAGCGAAATAGCCAAATCATACTTAAAACATATATTTCTAAAAATTTTAATGTATTAGTTTTATGTGTTTGAGTATATTGCCTGCATGTAGATAGGTGCACCCGTGTCCTTAGCTTTATAAGAAACTGAAATAGTGTTTCAGGTTGGCTGTACTGGCTTGCATTTCCACCAGCAGTGTTTGATGTTCCTGTTGATTTGCCTCGGTAGCATATTTTGTGTCTTGTCAAGGTTTAAAATTTTTTTAGGGTTGGAGAGATGGCTCAGCGGTTTAAGAGCACTGACTGCTCTTGGCAGAGGACCTGGGTTTGATTCCCAGCACCCACATGGCGGCTGTGAACCATCCTTCCAGAATCTGAAGCCCTTTTCTGACCTCCATGGCATTGCATGACATGGGTACACTCCCTTACATGCAGCCAATACACTCATACACATAAAAATAATTAATAAATTAAAAATTTTTTTTTAACTTTTTTTCACTTCTTTAAAAATTATTTTGGTTAGCATGCAAACCATTGTGACTTTTTTTTTTTTTTTTTGTCTTTATGAGACGGTCTCCCAGTAGCCCCAGGCTGGCCTTGAACTCACAGAGATCTGCCTGCCTCTGCCTCCCTAGTGCTGGGCTTAAAGGCGTGCACCACCACGCCCGGCCATTGTGATATTTTCATCTACATCATTTTATTTTGTTCTTCTTCTCCATCTCATTTTTTTTTCTGTTGTAATAGATACCTAGTTTTAATGGCTGATGCATTAGATATTCCTTACTTCTCAGCTGCCCTCCACCTGTAAGGCAGTCCTTGTCACCCTGATTGCACATGTGGACTAGGGTTGCTAGTTCTTTATACATGGCAGTTCTTTTCTTTTTATATTCAACATCCTGTTTCCTCTCCCCATTTGCCATTCAAATTACTTGGTTTTCAAGTCCTAGAGTATCTTTCTGTGTGTCAGTTTCTCTTCCCTAAAATAGTATGTGTTTTCTCTGCCTCTTACGCTTTGGGCAAACTAATGATAATGGTTACACTGTTTTAGTTGTTTGCTTACTACTGACTTAAGGGTAAGGGACTCTTTTAAAGGTAGCAGTCAAGTGAATGAGTAAATGGCTGGTTTTCTGTCTCTACTTCTGCCATTCCTAGAATGGCATATACACAGACTCATACTACTTATGTAGCCTTTTAATTCTGTCATCTTCCATTTAGCATGATGCATGTGAGATGTGTTCCTGCTGCAGCTTATATTGGAGAGCAGTCCTTTTCACTGATGCTGGAGTGGAGGAGCAAGTGGTTTGCTTAGTCACTCCCTAGTTTTCTTGGAGAGAAACTTGCTAGTTTATTTTACTTAAAGTTGACTTTTCTTTTGACAGTGTGTTTATCTAAGAATAGGACAGGTAGAATTATTTGAATCCAAAATTTTGTTTTTTAGGAAAATTGCTATTCACAAGTTTTCCCATGAAATGACAAAAATTTAGTATGAGTTGCCTCTTTCAGCAGAGTGAGAGCAGAAGGGTCTGGTGTTGAAGTATCATGCATTTGGAAACACTTCTTACTCTGCCTCGTGCGTTATGTCTAGGTCTTCTGGGGAAAATTAAGACTATGACTATAAAGATTGTTACTTTTAATTTTTTACTACCTAGAAAATAAGACTTGAAAGATGTTTGTTTTATTGAGTAAAAGAATGTATTTAGTGGAATGTATGTAATGTTCTGAGTTAGCTTTTTGTTTATACTGAGCATAATTTTTATGTATATTTAGCAAAATAAGGACAAATTATTTGGCACATAGCCTGTCACTTTTTAAATTAATTTTAAAATAAAACGGGCTGGAGAGACCGCTCAGCGGTTAAGAGCACTAGCTGCTCTTGCAGAGTACCCAGGTTCATTTCCCAGCACCCACATGGCTAACAACTGTCTCTTAACTCCAGTCCCAGGTGATCCAGCGCCCTCTTCTGCACTCTTTGGTCACTGCATGCACATGGTGTGCTTACATTCAGGCAAAACACTCATACATATAAAATAAAAATAAATACATAGGCAAAATTAAAACATTTCACAACCAAAAATGAAATCTCCTTATGTACACGACTATCTTTTAGGAGGTATATTTAAGGGGTATGTCTTCACATTGTGTTCTTGTTATTGGTCAGTGGCTGGTGAGAAATTTCTAAAAATAATTGTATCTTATGAATGTACTTTGAAAAGTTCAGTAATTCATTCAAGTTTTCAGTTATGCATATGAATACATCAGAAGCAGTAGAAATTCAGT